GGAATCAAGGGTCCTGTGGTGTTACTACAGCAACTCAAGACCCAGCTGGGGACTGGTGAGTATCACAGGCCTGTCATAGGACAAGGTGGCCTCATGCCCAACGTGGTAGAGCTCCACACCCCTCCTGGGGCCTGGCTAGACAAGTCCCTTCCTCACTGGTCCCACATGGCACAGGAGGGCTGGTTTTCCCTTGGATTAACACCAGAATTTTTATTTCATGCTACTTAAGCAAACGACCAGAGGATCTGAGTGCCTGCTCTGTACAGCACAATGTTTGGTAGTTTTCTGAGGAGCAGAGCAGATGTCAAATTTAATAAATGGTTGTTAAATCTGAGAACAATCTCAGATCATATGCAGGCCCTATACCTGACAGAAAGTAGCGAACAAGATAATACTATGCTAAGTCATCAAGGAATAGAGTTCGATATGCACAGAGAAGTTAGGCAGGGCAGAGCCAAATATGGGACAGTTTCAGGAAGATTTTGAAACATGGATAAAATATGATTAACCCTAAGATGAAGGCAGAGGTAGGTCAGGTATGAGAACCTAATATGTAAACACATATTTCTTCTTCTATACTACTCCCAACTTTTAATTCCTTAACCATTTTACTCCTTAAAATATACCAACTACTTCTAAAATGAAGCATGGGCATTTTTTTTAAGTGGTAGATGGCTGAAAAAATAGCAGTTTTACACCTTTGAATGTTATGACCAAACATAGCACTGGTGTTGGCTAGAGGGGCTGATTTGATCCTTGCTTCCTCTAAGTGAAATCTCAGCCAATGAAGGAGAAAGTTGGAACAGAAGACGTGCATTACAGTCTCAAGAAAACTCCACCAGACTTTTATTCCTAATAGTCCACCAGCTGCAACAAACACCAAATAAGAGAAGAAAGAACTTACTCATCTGGTGGCCTAGGTATTTACAATTTTATTTTCACCTAGGAGAAATAAACGACATGCATCTAGTACGAAGCACAAATGAGTTAATGGACTAACATATTTAACTGATGATGATGGAGCGCAGGCGGCCCTTGAAGGTGGCCTCAGATCTGTCAAATGGGGATCACACTGACTAGACCTATGGGGGATCCATGGGGCACCCCAGCATTTAGGCACAATGACTTTACACTGAAGGAGTTCCAATAACTAGGCCAAGTTTGTATTTATGTGTCAAATTGAGAAAGTTAGTTGTCCTATCAGGTATAGATATCATGCTACTTTTTTTTTTTTTTTTTCCTTTTTGTCTTTTTTTGTGACTGGCAACGGATTGCAACCCTCAGTGTCGTGCCCGTACCGGACCGGGACCAGCAACGGGATCGCAACCCTCGGTGTCGCGCCCGCACCTCGCTCAGCCAGTGAGCGGCCGGTCCATATGTGGGATCCAAACCCTCGGCGGGAGCGCCACTGCGCTCTCAAGCGGCGCACTGTAGCAGTGCGCCACCGGGCCGGCCCTTGCTACTTTTCTTTTTGATTCAATTTAGACTTGCAAAAATACAACCTTAATTCTTCCTAAAGGATGAGCTTTATTCCATTTTGGCTTCAGGAACATGGCAACAAAGAGCTCATCACCTACTTCTAAGACCTTTGGACAAACACTGGCTACATTCATAACCTATGCCTAGATATCCCTTGGGCAAGCTCCTGTTGTCTAAGACAGCAGGGTATGGGAGCCCACTCTGGCCTGGGTGGCTCAGGGCAGGAGGTGTGCATAAAATATGGATCCTCACAGGAAGAAAACACTCTGAAGGGTCATAACATATTTGAAACTCATGCCACATAAAACAGGTGTCATTTTTACTTTATTTAAGAAAAAAAGGGGGGGATGGGGGAGTGGATGACAACAGTGATTTTCACACAGTAGACAAGTTAGCACTGGAAAAAAACGGGGTGGGGGAGATGTACTTGCCACCAGTCTGCTTTGCAGCTTTATAATTAGTAAATCTAATGCAGTTTGTCATTTGTATTACTATTTAGTAAATTTATAATTGGCAAAATTAGGGATTATGAACCACTGTTAAGTGTGCTACAACTAAGACAAAAACCTAAATAACCCATAAAAAAAATCACTAAAATAAACCATAAATATGTGATGCACATGAGTTAACAAAACCACTTTGTAAACATTTTCTCCAATATTACGTGCATGAGAAAAAAGTCAAAACACTGCACTCAATACAGAAAAGGGCTACTCTGATTTAAATACAGAAAGGTATTAATCATTAAAGCTTTGACTAAACCTAGAGACATATTTGTGTTGTTGTGTACAGCACTCCTGTAACAGTTCAATGTTCCACATTTAATGGTATCATCATAACACTGTTTTCTTTTGTTAATTTTGCCATATTGGCACTGCTGTGAAATCACTACCCTGTAGAAAGGAAAAAAATCTTTTCTTCCTTAGAAGAACTTAAAATTTCAACAGCTTATGATCTTTTATGGAGAAACCTCACTGGGTACCTGCATCAAGCTGTAGCAACTCAAGTCTGGTTTACAATGTGTTGAAGCCAAGAAGGAAAGGAGGATAGGACAGTTAAGGAAAGCACACACCAGGGACCCAGCCAGAAGGACAAATGACTGTCCAGCTTCAGTTGATTAAGACCAGCAATGGAGTCATCAAGAGAGGACCCACTTGGTGCCTGGCACAGCATAAGCAGAACAGGCATGATCTGACCTGCGCTCAAGGCCCCATTACCATACCCTCTTAAGGGAAAGCCAATTTTTGTTAAGTTCCTAAATACTCAGCAATTCCAATGAAACACCATTTGCATTATTTGCTGCTTGACTTACAGACAGTGGCTTCCAGTCTGTGCATAATCCAAGACCACGACACCACATCTTCCGTTACTTCTCCCTTATTGGCATTGGATGTTTGGAATTTCTTCAAAGACACCTATCCACTTTTTGCTGCTCTCCAAAGCCAGGGAGGAGCTGCAACGAGCCGAGCTGTTCTTTCTTTATTCTCTTGATATGTGCACCTGTGTGTTCACTGTGGTGCATTTCATCTTATGAAAAGCCTAAACATGGATAGCAAATGATCAGCAGGAACTTGGTTCTAACTACAGTCCAGTGGTGGGGAAACCCAGCCTATCTCAAATCCTTTTCAGAGGTGCAATCAAGTCTTCAACCTTCTCTAGGGTAACTATAAACTAGCAAAAAAGAACCAGTTCTTTCTGCTTTGGCCATTAGCACTATTCCAAAGTCACACAAAGGGAAAACCCATTTCCACCTCCTTGTCCCTCCAAAAGAAAGTACGGCTTTCTTAGCTGATTTTGTCTTTGTGGGAGTATACGACTAGCTGTTCTTCCTGCATTTGTGAGTGTCTGTATTTTTTACTAGATGGTTGTAGTTCGCAGGAGAGCCTTTAGGGAAAATGCTCAACCAGGAGGAAGAAAATGTCATGGTCAGAATGGAAGCCAAATGGGATGCAGAAGCTGGCAAAGCCTTGGCAAATAGGTACAAATGACCGTTGTATTTGTGGGGGGAAAATAGAGGAAAATTCCACATTTTCATGCTATAATGGGAAATTAACCACAGTGGAAGACTAAGCCTATGAAACACCCGGCTTATGTTTGGTGAACAAAGCCTAAGCAGCTGCTGTGCAACATTCCCACTGAGAACTCAGCAAGAGGAAAGTAAGACGGCAGAAGCAAGCACCGCTCCACACCAAGACATTGATACCCTCAGAGGAACTGATGACCATGAAGCCATGAACCAAGTTATTACTCAAGACATTTATTACAAATGTCATGAACATATCCATAAAGTAAAACTGGTTTAAAAAAACAGAGAACGAGAGCAAGTGAGAAAACGAGAAAAGCCAAGGCTTCGCTATTACACCTAAAACACAGAAAGATGCCATTTTTATGAATAAGCAGAATTAACTACATTCTTAAAAGTTTAGTGCATTGCATTTTTAGAAAAGGGAAATACCCCGACCCCCAAGAAAAGGTTCCTGCAACACTGAACAGTTTGTGTGACTATTCTAATGTGACCACCTGTCTGCTACCAAATCCCAATTAAGAACAACGAGATCTCTAGTGTTGTAGGCTGCAGTTGCCTCATCAACCACTAATGCTGCATCTGGTAAAAATGAAGCGTTCTGCTTTCTAACCTTAGAAAGCAGATTGCATTAGCCATAGGACTATTTCCCATCTTCACGGACAGTTTTCTTGGGCCTGCTGACGCTTGTGACAAAATAATAGTCAAACTTCAATCTGATAGTTTTGGTATTTAGATTAAATTAAACATTAATGGTTTCCTCCAAAAACATATAAACTAAATCACCTCTCAATGCATTAAAGACAATGAGGTAGGCAAAAACATAAACATGTGGCTTAAGCTCTTTTTTTCTTCTGCAAGTGCAGACTGTGGTAAAACTGTTGTTGCACTTCTAGGTTTAAACAAAAATTAAACCCTTAACTGAGGCAGTGCTAATACTGTCACACAACAAAGTTCTGGCCATTATACAAAATGCACACATTTTCTTTCCTTTTTTTAGAATCATTTGCACATGGTTTAGGCAAAACCTGGTACACAGAAAAATGACTAGGTTCTTAACCATGATCCGACCCCCCAAAATCCAAAGAAACAAAATGGGACCCCCTTTAACCCATCCCATCCCACCTCCCTAGCCCCACCCACAAAAAGTTATCCTAGTAACTGTGTCTTTCACATTTTATAAATATTAACTTCTTAAACCTGCACCTTCTTCTTTGTCCACATATTGTCACATTACAAAAAAAGAAATGTCAATTAAATACATTGTTAATGTTACTATATTAAATCTGCTCTCTGCTTCATCAAACTGCTCCTTATAACACCACTTTTCACCTCCTTGTGCCCACTGCCAATAAAACCAACGGCATGTTCACTGTCGCCACCTTCAGACACCCATAAGATAGTCATTCAGAGACGAGGAATTCTGGAGCTGCAGGAAAGTGTTTGCTTCCCGGTCAGATGCTCAATCCCAAACACTTATAGCACCTGATGATAGATCTGAACAGCACCAGCTGCATTGCAGCCTTGATTTATTTTTGAGTAAAGAAAAAAAGAGAACAGGGATAAACTAGTAAAAGAAGAGCAGGAAGGAAGGGAGAGAGAGAACCCAGCACGTGAGGTCTGCACACACAGCTGTCCTGGCTGCACCAGTGCAGCTCCGAGCTCCAGTTGCAAGGAATTCCAAGTTCTCAGGACCTTGAAGACTGTGGAGGCCAGCAATCCTGGATCACACTGCTTCTACCAGCTCAGAAGAGAAGTCCTGCCTAAAGTCATGAAATAAACCTGACTGCTGCCACCAGACCGAACAGAGGCAAAGAACACCTGCAAAAACAAGAGAACAGAATGGTTACTACGGCCACAGGGTAACTTCCATGGGAGCAGGGCTTCCTGTGGTCCCCAACCAGGAAACTTAAGCCACTACCACACTCTACACCTGCCACATGCCAGAAGTTTAGACCCCAAAGAGTCTTTTCAAAAGAACATCAGGGATGATGATTTATTATTTGTAAGAAGTGACAATCTATAGCTTATTTCATAATAACTAAGGCTTATTAACTGGGTAATTCCTTATACATTGCCATATTGAGAAAACTCAAAGGAAAAAAATGTGATGTTTCTGAAATTGGGCTATTTCTTTCCACTTCCACTGTTAACATCTAGAAGATAAACATATTTGAAAAATGCAATGAGCAACAGGGAAGACTCTTCAGCAACCTAATTTCTCTCTTTTTAAAAATTAGGTAAAGGGCTGGCCCGAGGGCGCTTGGGAACGCAGCGGCACTCCTGCTGAGGGTTCGGATCCCATATGGAGACCGGTCCGCTCACTGGTTGAGCGCGGTGCGGGCGCGACACCGAGGGTTGTGATCCCGTTGCCGGTCACGGTGCGGGCGTGACACTGAGGGTTGCAATCCCGTTGCCAGTCACGAAAAAAGACAAAAAAAAGGAAAAAATAAAAAATAAAAATAAATAAATAAATAAAAATTAGGTAAAAAATGTCCTAATTTCTTCATATGACTCTATAGGTAAAGTAATATGCTTTATTTTGTGCCTTTTATTAAGAATGTTAAGGGACATGATGTCATACATGATAAAAATATTGAAAAGCCTTAACTCCAAAGAATGTTATAGCTAAGCCCACATTAAATACATTCAGGAAAAAGCATAAGCCAAAAAGCTGACAAAACCCTTGTCAGCTGAGTTGTATAGATTTTCAAGTTAACAGATTTGGGAGATACTATATGGGAAAAAGCTGTAAACCCCATTTGCAAATAAGATGCAGGGCTGCAGGAGACAGTGGCCTGGTGGTGATGTGCTGTTTGTGTTTAGTGTGTGGTTGGGCAGCAGCAGGACCGGCTGTCAAGGAGATGTGAGGCTCTCTTCTTTCTCACATCAAATTTGAGAGTTTAATCTGAGAAGTCAGCCTGCAGGCTGGTTGCTAAAATGTATACTATATCTCGATATGAGACAAGAGGTGGAAATGTCCTTAAGAGGCAAGTTTCTAAGGCCATAGTGCATTGTCTTAGGTGGTCAGACATGCCTTTATCCTACTAGACAGAACGGGGGAAGGCTGGACTTGGTAAAGGTCAGTTCCACCCTCAATGTCCTTCCCACAGCAGGCCGGGATGGGCCAATACCCTGTGTTATCTATCCCCCAACAAGGCTGGTTTGGGAGGGACTCTCCAAGAGAGAGTAACCTCTAGAACAGATAGGGATGTTGTGGCCAGTTCTGAAAAGGAAAGGTGCTGTGACACCCTAGCAAGGTGCAGAAGTTGTGGTGCTTCTGCACAAAATTTTTACTGTTTAGCATTTCTGATGTGCAAACCAGGAAGCTATTTCACTGCTCAAAAAGCAAACTAACAAGTGTTATCTTTCTGACACACATCAGAGGAGAAGAATCTTTACCTTACTCAACTGCATGGGTGGTTCCTTCCACTCATAAAAGAATCCCATCCAACTAAATTGGCAGCTTTAAACTTCCCTATCCCCAAACCAATACAGCCTAGACAGGTCACCTAATAGGGTTTAAAAAATCCATAAAACTGAATATATGATGATTTCTACAGAGACAAATACTTCCATCCCCTCGCAATAAAAAACAAACTAAAATGCACTCCAATCCCAACAAACATGTCTAAAAGTGATGTCTAAAAGTTCCTTGATGAATTTATTTCAGAATCTATCCAAACTCCAAGGAAATTCATCACCAAACTACACGGAAAATAAACCACTGCTAAAAGATAGCAGCAACTAAAAAGAAGCCATAAGGTAACCATTACCTTGTCATTGCGTTCACATAAGAATTTTAGTCTTTGAGCCCTTTTGTGCATAAACACACCGTCCAAGTGGCCAGTTTCCACAGATCGTATCTCTATGGCCTTTTCTCCCCAGCCCATTGTCTGATTGGATCGAATATATGCTTTGGGAAGGAAAAAAAAAAAAGCAAATCATTCAAGACAAGGAAATAGCCTTGAAAAGATGTCCTTATGTCAAACCCACCCACCCACATACCCACAAACACACACCACTACCTAAATGGCTAGCATTTGAGGACTTTTGTTTTTAAGAAACTTTGCCTTTGTAATTGCCTAGTCTATCCTGGGAAGTGGTAATCTGAATCAATGGTTGAACCTATTAATTTCCCTTAGGCCTTACATGCTTGTCTTGAAAAATAACCCACTTAGTTTATTAGTGCACATGTTTTCATCAATCCAGTCATGAGAGAAGGCACAAAGAAGAAATGATGAATGGATAGATGTGACTTGATTGCAATAAAACAAAAATAGTTTGGAGATATAAATGTAAACCTATGAAAATTTCAAACATCAGCCCTTATTCTCAAATGCAAAGCAGAAGACTGTGTATGAAGCTGTGTGTCTGGCTGTGGCTCTGCCACTCCCAAGAGCAAATCGCTTCCCTTTCTGTTTCCCTTTACTTTCCACAAATTGGTCAACAAAATACCTGTCCCGTTTTCTCCAGATATCTTAAGTTAAATTAAATGAGACATTGTTGAGTTTTAAAAAATATAAAATAATTACTTGGATTTTGTTCTAAAACAAACCATAACTATTTCCATGGCCTGCAATTGAACTTTCCACTATCTATTGCCAACCACTCTGCTAAATGACCAGAAGAGTTAAACCACAGGTAAAATTAGTATGATAAATATACGCAGTCTTAGAGAAGGCTCCACTTTCACAAACACTGCCTGAGTTCTACATACCTACAGATGTGGGCATCTCTCCCCACTGCAGAACCACATCCTTGGTGATTCTTCCATATGTATTCACATAAACCCCCTCATCTTCATAGCACACCAGAAGCTCCATCCCATCCGTGTTGGGGAGGATGATGATCGCATGGGGTTTGATGCTACATTGGATCTAGAAAAGAGGAACAAAGTGCAGAAAAGCATGTTTGTGGCTTTTTCCAGCCCTGTGAAAGAGCTCAGTAAGATTGTCTTGGTGAATGCACCAGTACCATATCCCTGGTGATAAATACAGCAATTAGGTAATATTTTGGAACACCTGTATGACATACATCCACAGTCTACCTTTATACTTTACTGACATATTTTCTGAGGCCCCTGAAACATATCTGGACAGTGGGCTCCATTTGAGAATCACTCCCACCCCACGGGTGTTGTGGCCTGCCAGCAACTGCCCCCAAATCCATCCCATGTTAGTCAAAGCAGGGGCTAAGAGGTTCTCAGGAGGGCTTCACAGAGCGGGGAGAGTGGATTTCCACTGGTCTCAGAGCATGGAGCTATTGAAAATGGCACATCACTTAAATACTCACCCCCACACCAAGGGGAAATGAAGAATCCCTGCTTGTGTTAGTTCACTAAGCAGAGTAAAGAAAAAAGTCAAAACAAAATGAAGCCAGTCAACCAACCATAGAGTGTGGGTTCTTTCTTACGTGTGTTGGTAGATAAATGTCATATACTGATCCTGAATCCACATCAACAGCATGAAATCCAGCACAGGATCCATAGATCACTTTCAACCTCTGGCCTTCCTCCACAGTGAGATCCACCAGTAATGGCTTATGTACCAATTCTCCAAATGACTACAAAGAAGTCACCAAGAAAAAAGCAGTATGATGAAGCTGAACTTATGTCTAACAGATCACACTAGACAAGCTAGACTCAAGGTACTCAGCTATTCAATTACTGAGCCACACTGCCAACAACCAGAAGGCAAAAATATGCTATAAAATGAGTCTTTATTATGCTTTTGACTGTTAATTAGCATCCGGAAGACACTCCTTCCAGGAGTTATCCCAAATCTCCCCTATCCAGCAGCCTAAGAATTCTGCTCTGTCACTTACTGTCTTATTGTTTGTCTTGATCAGAAAAATATATAAAATAAAATAACTGGACTTTCTATAGCATACTATTCAACTTCTCAAATGCAGACAGCAGAGCAAGAGGAGCTAGGGACTCGCACACTGAGAATTCTATCAGTGTTACCGTCCTAGTAACTACTTGAGCTACAAAGACTTCTACATTAATTTTTGACCAGATAGGTGATGAAAGGCGGTAATATACTGTGATAGCTATAGCTATATCCAGCTATACTGGACAGCTTCAGTTTTTCATTAATATCAATATCCACAGCTTACGAGACTGGGATGATGATGAAACAGAATACAGTCGTCCCTTGGTATCCATGAGGGATTGCTTCTAGGACCTCCCAGATACCAAAATACAAGAATGCCCAAATCCTTGATATAGAATGGTATAGCATCCTCCCATATACTTTAAATCATCTCTAGATTACTTATAATGCCTAACACAATGTAAATACCATGTAAACAGTTGTATACTATATTGTTTAGGGAATGACAAGAAAAAAAGTCTGTATGTGCTTGGTGCAGATGTAATTTTTTTTCAAATACTTTTGATCCATTGTTGGTTGAATAAATCCATGAATACAGAAGGTTGACTGTAGCTTTAAATAAGGTAATATTTATAAATGCAATTAGAATGCTACTTGGGACATAAAAGATATTAAGTCCATATCTCAGAAGTTAATGAAATTTTATAATCAATTATCTTTATTCAATATACTTGGGTTTTTTTGTTTTTTTTTTTTTAACAAGTACAGTAAGCTCATTTACCCTGCTTTACTGGGGAATCAAGCAATAAGCAATACAAATGCGTAAATTTTCTGAGTAACTAAAACTTATCCTTTCAGTAAAACATATCCAAACTATTTTTTAAAATAAGCAAACAAGAATTTAAATAAAAAATAAGAATTTTGGATGAAAAATTCTTAATTCTTTGCTCTGTACTAAAATGGCCCCAGGAGCTATGACTAAGGTTTTATCTTTAGTATAAGAAGTGATGCAATTAAGTTATTTGTAATATTTGATGCCAGAGTAATGTCAATTAAGAATTTCATAAAGTTGTATTTAGTACACATTCTAGAATAAATTATCAAAAAGACGTATTTAAAATGCCCACAGAAAACAACTGCTAATTTTCTATGGGTTTCTGGGGGGAGACCTGCTAAAGAACTTTACTTAAATACATTGAAGACCACTAATTTTACTTAAAAAATTGTTTTATTCACAGCTCTTTAGAAACCTAACCACCAGTCCAAGTGAGGTAAGTTTACAATCACAATTACATGTGTATGTGTAGAGTCACAAATGGAAACAATCCTAATTTTAAAACAAAGTGTCCCTTCACTTCCTTTCCTAAAACTGTGTACAGGCAAAATGGCAAAACCATCTAAGTTTATATATTAGTTTGGATGTTATATACAGTTTTTTAATTTAAACAAACATGGGATCATATTATACATACTTTTAACTTCCTTTTTCCATTTAATGTGTATCATTAAGAATCTCTGTAATTTATTTATTTATTTTTTTTTAAAAGATGACCGGTAAGGGGATCTCAACCCATGGCCTTGGTGTTATCAGCACCACACTCTCCTGAGTGAGCCACCGGCCGGCCCTGTAATTCAATTTTTAACTAGTACTCTATTGAATAGATACACCTTAACTGTTATCAAAAACACATCTAAATATTGATACAAATCCACGACTTAATGTGAGGTCTGCTTTTTAAATGGAGAGTGGAAGTGATGTTGTTTTGTCTTTTCCTGTGTTACCATATTGGCACATCAATCAAAGTGTCTACCCAACATCCAGCTTGCTCCCTTTCATACTCCGAGGGCTTAGAAAGCAGATAACTAAGCTTATTACATTAGAAATGACCTCTTATGATAAAGTTAGATGCTACACTAGCTCTTATATTATCATTAGCTTTCATACTATGGATATGAACTATACAGACTCTTTAAACTTATTCCCTGGCTCTTAGTCACAGTTGCATGGCTTATACTACTTTTAAATGCACTTGATGTTGTTACCTTAAAGGCCATGAATTTGTGATATGGCTTGGGTGCCCACGCATAGACTTCCACAGAACTCTTCAAAGCAATTACCAGAAATTTGATTCTTTCATATTTTACTGGGGGAAAAAAACACAACAACAACAACAATATAAAAAGCAAGAAGCACGGGTCACTACCAACATGAATTTTAAATTGTTTTCGTTGTCTTCTGTAAACTATATAAATATGCCTTCTATTGATTTGTTTAAACCAGCAGTGGGAAAAAAAAATGCAGAAATCGAGCCACACAGTTTCCTTTTCCAATTCTTTAATGTATGTTCCATGCTGTTCCCATCTTTTTTGATGTTGTACTGGGTTCAACTCAAACACTCTGGATACCATCAATGAGTACTTTCATTAATGTTCATAGCCCTCATAGATACCAAGTATTGTATAATCAAGGACAACGCCGGGCATATCATCCTAAAGTCTCGACATTACTTCAAAAGAACAATGACATAACTAATCAGCCAAGAGACTCCTGAAGCATAGAAAAGAGGTCAAGGTCTTCTGTGCAGCTTTCCCCAAGTCCTGCATGGGCCTCACAAAGACAGAGGAACCCAGACGGTGATAACAAAATAGTCAGTGAATCTTGAATTCTATCAATAGAAAGGAATATCTGTGCACAAGTCCAAGTATCACTCCAGATCTTTTCCTGACCTACAGAGGCAGTAATTTCTAGGATTCTATTTAAAGTTCTGCACCAGAAGTGCAGTAATAAATCTCATTTCAACCATGTTTTAAAAAAACAACAAAAACTGTTTCCTTTCCATAGCTGTTTCAGTTCCCTTACAGCCTAGCAACTCCGCTAATCAAAACAGCCACTCTGAGGATCCCTGACCACACGTGACTTACTAGTCTCATGCAAATTCACTGGTTCCTTTGTAAGCTCTCTAACTTCACACTGCTACTTGATTCTTTCTGTGTGTATGAGAAATGACTTGTTAACTTGATAACTCTCCTTGTTAAATTCCACATATTGTCCTATTCAAATAAATCACTGGCATTAATATTAAGAAATAAATGATTATAAGAGGCTGTCCAAACCAGTGCTGTTTAATAGAATTTTCCATGATGATGGAAATGCTTTATGTCTGCACTACTGATATGATAGCCAATAGACAAACGTGGCTACTGGGCACTTAGAATGTACTAGTGCCACTGAGGAACTAAATTCCACAGTTTACTTAATTTTATTAATCTAAATATACATTTAAATAGTGCCCTGTTCTTGGCGGCAACCACAAAGATAATGAATAGATGCTATTACCCATGCTTATTTCTAGGAAATACTTGTGATTCACTCTGTAAGAATGACAGTTTTGTGCTGATGAAAAGCCCAGTACATACAATCTAACATGCTTACCTCTAGCTCCCTCTGTAGGATCATCTAATCATGTACATTTCAGCTGTTATGAGCTGTTCCATTAAATTTAGCCTTAGATAATTTTAGCTATACCTCAACAAATAAAAATACTTCAAAGAAACACAACACAGAAAATCCTAATCCCAAAATCTATACCAAGGAGATAGTACTACTTTCCAGTATCACTTAGAATCATTCCAAATATTGAGGTGGCTCCCATAATCATTATTAGTCAGCGAGCTGAGGGTTGTAGACAGACTTCATAAACAAGACAATGTCAAGGATTATAATATCCTGGGGAGCAGAGGAACTGACTATAGTTCATACTTCATAAACACAGAAAAAGGAAAACATGCAAGCAGAAATCAACATTCAGCTGTTACAAATTCTAGTAGAATATATCATCTTTCCCATAAAGCTTTTATTTGGCTAAGATCCATTATTTCCCCTTTATTTCCAACATTAGCACCAGTATTTTGATTTTTTTTAATAGGAAAAAAGTTAGTTTGGGTTTTGTTTCTGTGAGATTATTCATGAGAATCACTGCATGCATTCCCCCCCCCCCCCCAAAAAAAAAAAAAAAAAAACAATACAGTTGCCATAAAACGCTGACTGGCCAGCTGCAGTCATTTACTAGTAAGAGCACAGTAGCTTTGCAGAGTGCATCTAATTCAAAATGACAAGCTATAATGCTTTGGGTCAAATTCTCAAATGTTGTATCAGTGATTGCCAAGGACCCACCGTCTTCTAAATGGAGAATAAGCCTGGCATGTAAACAAGCAGTTCAGGTCAGCTGGCTTTCATCTGACAAGGCTTCCTTAAAGAGAGGTTACTTTGCACCACATCTTACAGAGGAGAAGAAAGTGGACTGTCAACAGAGAAGGGTGAAAAGTCTCTCTTGCAAGATAAATGGTGTCAGGGAGACTGAGGACAGAGGAAGCTGCAGGAACAACTATGTTATGCTTACAGGTGCACACAGGCAATATCTACCTCGAGATGAGACCTTAAGATTAGAAGATGCCTTAGACACAGAAGACCAGAAATGAGTCATATGTTTCCAGAAACAAGTTTATTAATATAAGCATCAAAGAACAAACGGATTTTAAATTACCCTAATTAGACTCTGGAAAAACAAACACTTAGGACCCTCCTAGAACTTACCAACTTTATAGTGTACACATCCTTCCAAGTCCCCTACAGTTGTCCATCCCTGCTTCTTCTCAACTTCTGGATCATTGTGAAGTATTTTATTTCTTAACCAGGACAAATAGTAGACACGTAACTTATCCTTTTTGCCTATCAAATAAATATATATATGTTACATGCAGATTCAAAAGCAGTTATCACCATTCATAACACCAGTAACCAAAAGAAACTTCTATAATGGTAAATATTATTTCCCCCGAAGCAACCATTTAGTATCAAAGTTTTTTTTTTTTTTTTCTTTGTCTTTTTCGTGGCCGTTAAGGGGATCGCAACCCTTGGTGTGGTGTCGCCCGCACCGCGCTCAGCCAGTGAGCGCACCGGCCATTCCTATATAGGATCTGAACCCGCGGCGGGAGCGTCACTGCGCTCCCAGCGCCGCACTCTCCCAAGTGCGCCACGGGGTCGGCCCTAGTATCAAAGTTTTTTATTTTTATTTATTTATTTATTTTTCCCTTTTTTTGTCTTTTTTCGTGACCGGTAACGGGATCGCAACCTTCAGTGTCGCGCCCATACCGCGACCAGCAACAGGATCGCAACCCTTGGTGTCGCGCCCGCACCGCGCTCAACCAGTGAGTGGACCGGTCTCTATATGGGATCCGAACCCTCGGCGGGAGCGCCGCCACACTCCCAAGCGCCGCACCCTACCGAGTGCACCACCGGGCCGGCCTCCCTAGTATCAAAGTTTTTTTGTTTTTTGTTTTGTCTTTTTTTCGTGTCCAGCAACGGATCGCAACCCTCAGTGTCGCGCCCGTACCGGACCGGGACTGGCAACGGGATCACAACCCTCGGTGTCACGCCTGCGCCTCGCTCAGCCAGTGAGCGGGAACCGGTCTGTATGTGGGATCCGAACCCTCGGCGGGAGCGCCGCCGCGCTCTCAAGCGGCGCACTGCAGCAGTGCGCCACCGGGCCGGCCCTAGTATCAAAGTTTTAACGGAAAATCAATTCAGGCTATTCAGGTGGACTTTTGAAACCCTACAAAATTATCACCAGTGTTGGCTCGGGCTAGAAGGAAAGGCTTTAAAAGAATAATGAACTCACACTTATGTGGATGGATAGGATTGATAATCCACAAAGTAATACAAAAACCTGCACAACAATACAACCAAGAGAGATTATAAAATGCTTTTACATGTATTATGCCACTTTCTCAAAACCCTCTAGAGTAGCTGCTATATACCATTAGAAAGGTAAGCACAGAAGGGTTACATTAATCACCCAATGCAGGAATCTAGAGAAAGGCAAGTCACAAATCGGAGATGTGTGGCACTTAAACAGCTGACAAAGGATTCACATCAAGAATACGAATAATGCCTCAAATAGAGAGATAACCCAATAGGAAAGCTAGGCAAGCCACCAGAACAGGAACTTCACAAAAGAAGTGATCTCACAGATACATATATATATATAAAGTGCTTGCTTTCCACAGTGAACAGTGAATGCATATTAAAACCATAAACAGATACAATTTCATGCACCTGTCAGAATATCTAGAATACTGACAATATCAAAGGTAAGCAAGATGTGGAGCAACTAGAAACTTCATAAGCTATTGTAAACTGTCAGAACATTTTTAAAAGTTTGGCATTATCTATTAAAGTAGGACATATGCATACTCTACATATGATCCCACAATTTCTCTCCTAATACAAATAAATGTGTATGAGGCCCCCAAATACATGAACAGGAATGTTCACAGCAGCATTATTCATAACAGCCCCAAATGGGAAACAACATAAATGTCTACATCAACAGTAGAATGAATGAATAATTGTGATGTACTCATTAATAGGAATGAAGAGCAAACTATGGCTACAAGCAACAACAAAATGACATTGAGCAAAAGCAGCCAGACACTCACATTAATAAGATAAAGAAGAGAAATTCTATGATCATATCAACAGATGCAGAAAAAGCATCTAACAAAACCCAACACTTAGTCATGATAAAAACTCTCAGGAAAGCAGGAATAGAGGGGAATTGCCCCAATTTGATGAACATCTACAAAACACTTATAGCTAACACCATACTTAATGGTGAGAAACTAAATGATTTCCCCCTAAGACTGGAAGTAAGGGAAGATGTTCCTTCTCACAACTCCTATGAAATATCATACTAGGTGTCCTAAGCGAATGTGTAAGACAAGAAAATAAATAAATAAACAAAAGTTATAAGGACAGAGGAAAGAAAGAAAACCATCTTTGTTCACAGAAGACATGATTGTCTAGGCAGAAAATCTCAAAAAATAAGCAATAAAACTCCTGGAACTAATAAGCAATTATAGTGAGGCTGCAGGACACAAGCCTAATATATAAAAGTCAATCCCTTTCTTATATACCAGCAACAAATAGCTAGAATTTAAAATTAAAAACACAATGCTATTTACATTAGCAATAAAAAACCAAAATGGGTATAAGTCTAACAAAAGAGCCCTTTCAAGATCTACTTGAAAACTACAAAACACTCATGAAAGAAAACAAAGAATTAAATAAACAGAAAGATATTCCATGTTCACAAAGAGGAAGACTCAATATTCTCAGTTTTCCCAACGTGATCAATGCAGTCAACACAATATTGAAAAAGAAAAACAAAGTTGGAAGACTGATAGTACCTAACTTCAAGATTCCCTATAAATCTATGGTAATCGAGCAGTGAGGTTATTAGCAAAAGAACAAACAGATCAATGTAACAAAACAGACCAGAGAGAGACCCACACAAATGCAGTAAACTAATCTTTGACAAGGGAGCAAAGGCAATTCAACAGAGAAAGGACAATCTTTTCAACAAATGCTGCTAGAACAACTAGATATCCACATGCAAAAGAAAATGAATATATACACAGACTTCTAAACTTTCACAAAAATCAAATCAAAATAAACTGTAGACCTAAATGTGGAATGCAAATCTGTAAAGCTTCTGGAATACAACATAGGAGAAAATCTATGCGACCTCAGATTTGGCAATGACTTTTTAGATACAACACCAAAAGCACAATCCATGAAATAAAAAACATAGCTGGACTTTGTTAAAATTTTAAACTTCTGTTCTGCAAGAGACACACTGTTAAAGAAAATAAGCAGATAAGCCACAGACTGGGAGAAATAACTGCAAAACATACATCTGATAAAAGATTTGTACCCAAAATATACAAAGAACCCTTAAAATACAACAGTAGGAAAACAAACAACCCAATTACAAAATGGGCTAAACATGTGAGCAAATACCTCACCAAAGAAGATATACAGATGGCAAATAAGCATATGAAAATATGCTCAACATCATAAAGCATTGGGAAATTTCAAATTAAAACAACAATGGGATACCATTACATGAACCTACCAGGAGGTCTAAAATCCAAAACACTGACAACACCAAATGCTAGCAAGGATGTGGAGCGACAGGAACTCTCATTCTTTGCTTGTGGGAATGCAAAATTATATCACCTCGTAGAAGACAGCTTGGTAGTTTTTTTTTTTTCTAAGCTAAATGTAGTCTTACCTTTTGTTCCAGTAATTATGCTCCTAGGTATTTACCAAATAAATAAGCTGAAAGTTTATGTCCACACAAAAAGCTGCATACAATGATTATATAGTGGCTTTATTTATAATTGCCAAAACTTGGAAAAAACCAAGATGTCTTTCAACAGGTGAATGAAGAAACTGGTACATACATATAATGGAATATCATTTGGCAATAAAATGAAAGTTTATCAAGTCACAAAAAGACATGGAGGAATCTTAAATGGGTATTGTCAAGGGAAAGAAGCCAGTCTATAAGGCTACGTACTATATCATACATGAGATAGTAAAAAAACAGTTGTCGTCAGGGTCTCAGGGGTAGGGGTAATCAGAGATTTTTAGGGCACTGAAACTAACCTGCGTGATGTATGATGGCAGACACATTATACATTTGCCAAAACCAACAGAATGTACCACACAAAGAATGGAACCTAATATAAACTACAGACTTTAGTTAATAACAACATATTAATACTGGTTTATCAAGTGGAACAAATGCACCACCCTAACACATAATGTTAATAATAAGGGAAACTGCAAGGGAAGGAGGATACGGCAACTGTATTTTTGCTCAATTTTTCAGTAAACCTAAAACTGCTCTAGGAAAAAAAAGTCTATATAAAAAGAGAGAAGCAGCTGCCACTGCCAGAACTCGTACCATTTTACCATTTACTTGAATTCAAATCAATGAAGGCAAAACCAATTTAAGGTGTTCAAAGTCAGGACAGGGCTTACCTCTGAGGGGCAGTGCCTGGGAGACAGCACAGGGGAACTTCGGGGGTGCTGGGAATGTTGTTTCTTCACCAGGATGCAGAAGGATGGGGACTACATGGATGGATTCTATTTGTGACAGTTCACTGAGCTGTATACTTATCTGTGCACTTTCTGTTTATGGAGATACTTCAAAAAGTTCATGGAAAAATAGAATTAAAAGATAACACAAATCTTTCCAGGAACTTTTTGAAGTACCCTCCTATATCTTATACTTCACTATGATCCTTTTAACTTTATAAGAAAGTTTTTGTAGGAAAATGTCCAATATATGTTAAGAAAAAGATCACATAAGTTTTATAGTGTTTTGTTCCCATATCATGAGACATATTTACAGAAAAGAGAAGGAAATATAAAATGTTAACAAAAGTCATCTCTGAGATGAGGGTGACATTCAGGAAGAATCCTAAGTCATTTCTATTTCTGAAGCTTTGTACGATGGATGTACATTACTTTTCTGACTGTGGAAACCATTAAAAGCCACTAAAGAAGGAAAGAATACAGAAAAGTAAACCAAAAAACAATCACTTGTAGCAGCTGACTATTGATCCCGTGAACTGTCTCATTTCACGAGACCACAAAATCAAGTTTCCTTTAGCTGTAGATTTGTTATTTTGACTCCAACTTTAAAAACTGCCATTTTCTCATTTAAGTAAAAAAACAGATGGTGGAATTTTTGCATTTCCACAAACTTCTTTAATTATAAATGAAAACATATTTGAAAAGTAAAACAATTACAAGCAAATTTGTTATATATAAGAAAATATAAACAAGCTGGTACTAGTAGATAACTAAATCAAAGTTATTGGTGGTAAAATAAAACCTACTTAAAGTCATTATTTTGCATACCCTTTGACCCAGCAATAACAAATTATTAGGAAATTATAACCTATACGACATAGATATATATGCCCAAAGATTAAGAATATTTGTGAAAAATGTTTACATGAGAGAGACAAAGGAAATAAACCTGAAGGGCAACAACAGAAAATAAGTAATAAACTTTAATATGTCTATGTAAGAAAACATTCCCTAGCCACATAAAATGGACACCATGGAGAACGCTTAATGTCATGAAAAAAGCAGGTTACATGGACTGGAGCAACAGGCATGGTGGGATACACCCTGACTTCGGGACTGCGGTTACCACTGGTGGGCCCATGGGGGAGGGGACACTGACCATACAATACCACAGACTATTCTCTCATTATTGTTCTCTGAATCTTAATGTCATGAAAAAAGCAGGTTACATGGACTGGAGCAACAGGCATGGTGGGATACACCCTGACTTCGGGACTGCGGTTACCACTGGTGGGCCCGTGGGGGAGGGGACACTGACCATACAATACCACAGACTATTCTCTCATTATTGTTCTCTGAATGTTTGAAACACTGCATAACTATTTTTATGCACATTTTTTCCTTACATGTGTACATTAAGTGTGATGTATACCTAAAAGAGTGGAAGTTAAAATCCTAAACAGTTTAAAATTTTAAAGTTAACAGATTTTGTCTCTGATTTTACTTTTTATTTCTCCTAGTTTCTTTTCTGCAGTCATTTCTTACTTTGTACAATGAACATAAATTATATAATTTATACTAATAGAAATGCTCTTTTTTTAAAAAGAAACTTACAGTGGTAATTGACATAAGAATAAAAAACACAATATAGTACTTTTGTGATAATGGCAAAGAATAGTTCCTTTTGCATGTAAAAGAGCCCAGTGAAAGGGAGTCGACACAGATTTACACAATGGATGAGACAAATGACACCTAACAAGCAACAAGGGCAGAGGGGGTGGGCGTGTGCTGCTCAAGACTGCACTCTGGAAGAGCCACAGATCAAGTGTGCACATGTGTCACATCTGAATAGATCTTCCTCTCACATGATTATAAAATCATAGTGTAGTCGTATCTCATTTAGCCAGTACATCAGAGAACAAGCTAACTGAAGTTTAGTGTGTAAAGCTAAAATATTTTTAAACAGTGTCATATATTCTGCTTTACTAAACAAACGCTTACCAGATATTGTCACCAAGACGTTCAAGCCCTCGAGTACATCCATTTGTTGAAATCGTCTTCGGTTGATAAGAGGATATACCTTCCCTTGGCCACTTCTGTCCAGCAGCATCAGGCCACTCTCTGTACCCACTAGCAAATTCACTCCTGTTTCAGGGATACAGAAAGGCCTAAATTTTATGCTCTGCTTGGCAAATAGCTAGGCTGTACAGAAAGGATAACACCACCTATTTGGAAAAGAGTTCAGCTTCCTTAATTCACATAGAAAAATAAACTCTTAAGACAGTCAGAGGTTAAAGCAACCAAACCTGCAAAACGCTGCCATATAGGAGTGATGGTAACCTATTTATTCAAATATAAGGATATAAGGGGGAAGAACGAGGAAGCCTTTAATTTCCTTCACAATCATCAGTTTCCAGCTCTTCCTCAGTTCCCCCAGAATGCTGTCAACCCACTATCTCTGTAGCTTTACAGAGTATACATTTAATTCGCCACATTAGATGCTCAGATAAACCTTCATTTGATACAGTGGTCTCTTCATGCTTCTTTTATCTTTATTTTCACTGGCAAACTTCTGGAATGAGCTCTCCTCAAATTCTTAATAGTTTGAGCTTTTCTTAAAGACCACTCTCCACCATCCTCAAGAAACAACTGCACTCAGTTCTCTTGTCCCTCCATTTCTTTGGAATGTTAAAATATTGTGATCTCCCCACATGATCCATCCTAGCTCTCTGACCAGGTACTGTCACGATTTTCCTGCTTCTGCTATGGTGTGAAGTCTCCTTCCTGGTTTCCATGCCCCTTCTCTGCATCATAAACAGGCTTTTCCTCTGCTGGCTGGCTGACACTGCCCCATGCTCGAGCAGTCTCTAAGAACCAGTAATTCCCAATTCTTTGCTGCACCTCCCTGCTTTTCCACCTGCTACAGATTTCTACTGAAATCAGCTTTCTGACTTATGTCACTTCTATCAACAATGCCACCCTCTCACAGCCACTCTGCAAAACTAGCTAAACTGGCCACCAAATCCAGTTGAGACCTCCTCTTCTCTGTCCCTTCCTTTCCTTTTCCTCTGCCGTCACCCTACTTTAGGTTTTGGCAACCTTATGATTGATGGATGAGACCTTATCTGAGGTAGGTAAAATAGTCTCTCTAGTTTCTCATGACTGCACATCAAATTAATCCCAATCTTCCTAAAATACTCACTGAGTCATGCTGTTTCTTCAAAAACTACACACTCCACACAGGAAAAGTTCCAAAAGCCTCAGTCTGCCACTCAAGACTCCCTGTCCCTTGAGCCATATCATTCACTTATTTCCCCAAATGTTCTTGTTTCCTTGGTCTAGAACCTTCATCACCTAAACCAACTTTGTAACAAGTACCACAGATAACCTTATACCTTTAGGGAATTGGGCACACATATGTTTACACTGATTCCCTGAACTAGGTAATAAACTCACAAGACAAGGAATAAAGTATTTGTGCTTTTGCAAAGAAATTGCTCAATCAATATTTTCAGGTAGGTGGAATGACGGGAAAGATCAAGGCATGCACACATGCACACCCACCCACCCACACCAGAGAATTTAAAATGACTAATTGTGAAGTCTACAAGAGAACAGCCCTACCAGAACCCTCTCTCAGCTCTGTGTCTGTTCCATATTGAATGGGTTGCCCCAACATTTGGAGGACAGTATCTACCCAAGCAATCCTTGTGAGGAAACTGGAGGCACCTTTTGGGGTCTTGGGGAAAGTGGGGAACCTGGAGTTTACAAATGGACTTAGCATTACTGCTGTCCACATTTGAATGAGAACTGCAGCTGATGTGGCTGTCGGTTAGAAATGTGCCGAAGCACCAAAGGCTCTGAACTACCACTGAGTCCTCTGAACTATCCTGGAGTCCTCAGAAAAGATAAAAACTGTAAAGAAAGCCTTATGAATTCTACGGACAGGCATCTACAGTTTCTGATGATGGCGTGACCTGATAAAAGTCCCCCCACTGAAATCTGCTGCCTGGCATACAATGCAAGTCTCCCTCTTGCCCTTGTGGAAATACTGCACGTTTACAAGAGCATCTGTGTGCACACACCTCCACCTCATCATAGGCACTTTCTATCTAGTGTTATCTTACTCAGATAGTTTGTCAGAGCCTGACATACTATGAAATAGCTTCAGAAAATGTGAAGGAAGCCTGTGGAATTTTAGGGAAAAGGGAAGCCTGAGTATTCACTTAACTACCTGCTTCTCATGTAAAGTAATCTTTAAAAGTAAACCCTCCTCAAAATGTATGTACAGCATAAGAAAAAAGGCTTATAAATGCATAACACTTATTCTATCATCTATAATTAACATCTTCAGAACATACCATCTAGACCAGCGCTATCCAATAGAACTTTCTGCTCTGAGGTAAGTGCTCCTTATCTGTGCTGTCCATTAGCCAGTGACCACATGTTGCTACGGAGCACAAGAAATGTGGCTAGTGTAACTGAGGAACTAAATTTCTTCTTTTAATTCATTTAAATTTAAACAGCCACAAGAGGCTAGCAGCTACCACAATGGATAGCTCAGCTACGGATGATCTTGGTATTCTATAAATCAGGGAACATCATGGCATTGAATTAGAGTTTATGACCTTACCCTTTTTAAACTTACAATAAGCTGTTATGTTTTCATGAGTGAGAAGTTCTTTAATAGAAATATCATACACATCAGATAGTGACTTAATGCTAAGAGAAAAAATTGCTATCCAATTAAAAACAAAGTTATTATCAGTATAAGAAAAACCAATACTTAAAATACACAATATACTCCACTCATTTTCATATTACTCTGTTTTTGAGGTTACCCTGACTACATCCCTATCAAGGTAGAATTTATTTGGACATTATTCCTTGGTGTTTTCCCTTCACATACCTAGATGAGTTAATTCTAAACAGCTTAAAAGTTATTTGCCAAAAAGACAAATATTTGCTGATGGAGGCAACAAGCTGATTCCAAAGGTTACATTTTACATAATATTTCAATATTTTCCTGGTCAATCTTCAATAACAAGTAGCTAATAAAAAAAAAATTTTTTTTAAAGCCTATGTCAAGAATCTGGTAATAACTACCCAAAATATGAGCCTTGGCAGATATACTTATATTATTTGTGGTTTCCAAAAATAAACAGCACTCAAACACCAACTTCAAGATTTTATAGTGACAAAGAATAAGCAATAACAAATAAAGCTGGAAAATCTTTTCACATGCACAAGAATTGCAGATATTTTGGCGCTTATACCCTATCTTCTAATTCTCTACTACATATCTCCAAGAACAGCATAATTTTGCAAAGCACTGACTACTAACAGTCAAACACAGTCACTGGAAAGTAACAGCCTTGGAAGTTACGGGCCTATGAAAAGAGTGGAATGTTAAAATTTTTTATAAATATACTTTTTAAACCTTTCAACTGTTAGATATAATTAAATTTTACAATGCTTATATTAGGGCCCCCTTCCTCGATCA